CTGTAGCTCATCTTTTACACGTTATTCATCAAAATGAAAGACAGTCAACGCGAAACGAGCACGATCATGTTGTTGCACAAGAACAGAAATCTGTACAACATCGATAACTATCGGTCAGTCTTTCGTCGACAAACTCTTCACTCTAGTCATTCTCATGACAGTTATGTGAGCAAGCCTGGTTCCAAACAACATCCGGCTCGATGCACCACATCCACGCAATAATGATTGATGTATCGCGAGAGTGCAAGAGACAGCTTCGTCTCATTTTTGTCGGCTTCGAAACGGTAACTCATTTGAAATAGAAGCGTTCATGAAGCCTCGGGGATATACCATTCTACCAAAATTATTTGCAACCACAATAACCGTCTTAACGGAATCAGGATAGGACAATATAGGAGTGTAAAACCATGATCAGCAACTGCACCACTCTCTGATATCGTTCTTATAATATTGGACATTAACCAGGAGGAATGTTCGTATTTCGAGTGCTGAGGCGATCGGCCAGTCAGTGTTTCATAGAGCAGCGCTTGATGGTGTCCACTTGACGTATCGTTGGTGTTTTCTAATTTGTCTTGGGTTTTAGATTTAAAAAATTAGTTATCAAGAAGCTAACTTGTGACGTAATGGGTAAAAGAAGCTTTTGACTCAGTTGAAGCCGTTCCAGCCATGTTAACTATAGGAAACTGGAATCATGCTATTATTCTACGATGAAATTGTCACTGATGTACAAGGTTTCGACAACTCGTTACAATCTCGTCAAGACGATTTATTCTTGAGAACTTGCCAGAAGTGGGTTGTGATAATATGGGAGTGAAAATAAGCGGTTAGCTGCTACATCATCTTTGTTTTGCTAATGATGTCGTTATTACAGCAGAAGTTCACCACAGGAAAAGGATGCTGGCTGACTCGATAGTGCTTGTTCAAAAATCAGTCACCTCCATATTACACAAGTTAGAAATAGAATCAACACTATTGATCGATATCAACTGGATGAAAAATGCTGTTACATTAGTTGTAATGTGAAGAATTGGATAGATCCGGAACTTGATGCATTCTAACAATAACCGTTGAACACGAGCTGTATGTGGTTGCTTCCCAAATTGGCACAAGAGGAACAGGATCCTTCACAGCGACTTTACTAGAAAAAGAATAGGGCTCGTTCTCTCCAAGCGAGAGGAGCGCGATTGGTGCTCTGTTCACATGGTGTAGGATTTAATAGAAGTTTTATTGGCGCGTTGATGTCAGTGAACGTTTGGACGCTTGAACAGGTGATACAATTGATACGAACAGTTCACGTTCACGTTCATAAAACGTTCATAAAACAAGGTAACTGACTTCTGACGTTTGGTTTGCGATTCGGGTCACTAATTCAAAGAAGCATATTCTGCGCTATCTTGATGGCTTTTCAGAAGTGAGACTTCATCCATTGTCGCATTTTCTTCAATTCGGTAAAATTTCTTCGTGGCGTACAGTTTGCTCTTCTGTACGACAAGACTGAAATGTTTTTCAAGTTATGGTGAATCGATTCTCTTTTCTCAGGTGGTAATTCGATCCGTTACAGAACGGCGGCGCTGGTGACATATAAGGAAGCTTAAACTCAGAGTATCATGAGTCAATACATCGTATAATCTGGGGCATCGGTCGTTTGCTATATGAATTGCACTGTTGGGTAGCCCTCAGCGGTGTTTTTTCTCAAAATTTGATTTCTTTGAAGTATTGAAGTATAAATAAGGATCCCCTTAACCCTTTCGCGACGATTGGTTCCATCGACAACTGGCGTTTTTGCTTTGTCGCACTAATCGCATGTATCAATTTTGTAGTGTGCTTTCAAATTTAGATAATCTTAGGATTGAAACTTCCAAGAGGCTAAAGACACAGTTTGAGTTCTTGAAATTCTCAAAGCCACTGTGGCAGCTACAAACATAAGCGATACATTGGCAAATAATCTATTGTTCTATTGGACGAAACGCCTATTGCTTAATTGTCTTTATTTTAAAATATGGGTCTTCAAACAAAAAGGTGAAGGAAGGAAGTCTTATGAGCTTAAGAAAATCAAAGTTTCATTTTCTTATAATGAGATAAGTTGGCCTTCTCACGAAGGCAAATGTGTGCGGCAGATCTTTATTGCAGTTAACAGAATTCCTTAGAGACTGACGTACGTTGATTCAAAGTTGAGAACGGGGTTTATTTTCTTATCCTATGGCTCCGATGGAGGTCACATCGTCACTTAGGGCTTAAATGGTGCTCGTTTTCATGACGGATTTATGAAGGTAGCTCCTTACAAGTATCTTGTCCTTTTGATATCATTCTCCAACTCTTTTTGCTTAGGCACTAAAGATTGTTGTGCAGCAATTGTTGCAACACATCAGAGCTTTTCTGGGCTGTTTATTTTGAAGAGTAGCAGTTACCCCTCAATGGTGAGAGCATGTCTACGCCCATAGTATCCTCGAGAGTGCCAATTCGGACTTTTGCTCTGATTTTCAACCGCCTCGTCAAATTGTCGTGAAAATGCCTACCTGCTGTTGATTTTTTAATATTTGATTATTCTGTAATAAGTATAACGTTTAACTCTATATTTACTACCTATTCTTTTCATAACAGGGTAGGTATTACCCCGGAATGGGTAATAGTGGGCTCAAAACGCATCTTGTGGTCCGAGTTCTGCTCATATCTCAGCACCCTTGTGGTTGTATTCTTTAGTAGTCAAAAGAGGAGTGTACGACATATTGATTTTGATCTTTTCTCGTAAATCAGGTTTTCTTTGAATCTCTCAAGTAGCAGTGCCACTAGATTCCTTATTGACCACTGGAATACCAGGAACTAATCATAGTAGTTCCCTAAAGAATTTGAAACCATCGTGTTTTGGTATTAAATTGCAATGTGTGGCTAGATTGATATCCAATCGGGGTCGCCCATACTGATAAATTCCCAAAAGTCCACCTAAGAGTAACCGTATGCCATGGTAAAGCCCGGCGAGTTTCTCTTAGCTACCTGCTTGCTCGGGTGCATGCAATGCAGTGGTCAGGGAGGCCCTGCAATACGCATAAGATAGATCGCTGCTCCCTAAGCTCACCAACCCTTTCATCCCTTCGGGATCGCCAAACTGGTGCCACACATGTCCGGTAGGACAGCAGCACTGGCTCGATACATCGGTATACAACCGCGAAGGCCAGATGAGCATTCACTCACCTCCAACGATGTTTGAGGAAGTCGAATGCATAGCGCATCTCTCAGAGATTGATCAACGATTAACGCTGAGGGTTTTATCTTTTATTAGCTTTTACTTTCTTGCTAGGAAAGGGTATGTTTTCTATATCAATTAGGGGAGTAGAGCAAATATATCTGCTCCAATGCGCGATAATGACGCATGAATAGAGTGAGTGTATTGGTGACTGTTCCAGTTATGATTAATGGTCGATGATTCAAGGAATTCCAGGTGATCCAGGTAAAATGAATAAATTTCTGCCAGTTGTGGAGTTTTTCATCTTTTTTTAAGATCAGTACCTACTTTAAAGGAACTCTTTCCTTAAGTGCATCGAGAATTCTTAATGGTTAAGTTCTGATGTAACAAGAATTTTCTAAATGAATACTCTTTGCAAAGGTCAGTCTTCAATAATTTGTCTGTGGTGCTCCATTTGAAAACTCAGTTACGAATTTTGGATGATTTTGAGACTTGATTTAAAATGGAAAAAGTAGAGCTGGTTAGAGATCAGTTTAAAGTAACTATATTGCTTTTACTACACGGACAATAAAATTACTATATATCCTGTAGTAACACTAAGATACGTACGATACGTCTAATTTATGACGCGGCACAGAACAGTGCAAGATTTCTCGTCGTCACGATATTCGTCGGTCTCAATTCTTATGGTCCAAAATGTCAACAGCGAGAACATGCAAGCCTCCTCATCATTGAAACCCTCTGTTTAACTCTTTCTGTAAACAAGAAATAGCCCATAGTGCTCATGCAGCCGAACAAACTGCTTCCAATGCTTCTATGTTTGTAAATTGTCTGTTTACTTCTCTGTCTTTAGTAATAAACGACCAATTCGGGGAAGCACTGGTAAATTTCGTTCGTCCACGTCCTCAATGATAGTTTATTGGTAGGCTCCACTTGCTTGTAGTTTACTAGAAGAATCGTAGATTTGCTTTGACGCCATTGGTTTTTGATTTTTTGATGGTAATATGGCCACTCTTGACTTACAGACTCTGCTGTATCGTGGGTTTATTCCTAGCTGGCTTTCTGCATGGGATCATCACAGTCTTACTCTTTTTAATGGTTGGGTATTATGTGAAACTGACGACACTGTGATTTGTACCACAGCTTCTGCTTAACTGGGTTCAATGCCGATTTGTGCTCCCTATATCAATCCCGTTGACGAGTGATTGCTGTTAGCACATTTTGGTCAACAAAACGGTTGAGAAAAAGGTGAAACGAATTACTCGCATGGTTTGGTGGTGAGCGTGTTAGTCTCCGAAAACGGTAATAACGTGTTCGGTCCTCACCACAGGCACCAGCGGTCCACAGTTTTGCAAATCACTTAGCATCATTATGATTGTTTTCACTACTATTCTTATTTTACACAGTTTTTTAATTTGTACTATGTACCAGTTTTTCTTCCAAAAGTCGTTTTCTATTCTGGCATACGAGAGTGTACAGAATTTTCCGCTGATAGAGACGTTACGATCCGTTTGCTACTGTTGAAGGATAATTGTATCCAATAATCAATAGTTGTCGTATCCATTGATATTTTCTGCTTTTCTGTCTACCTTTGGAAGTTCGAATGTGATGGCGAGATCATCCGACGATTCTTGTCGGGGAATTTCCCATACAACACATCTAAAATTAGGCAAAACTAGTGATCGTAGAGAACGATAGCGTTAGTAGTTGTTTAGCCTTGGCTTGAAGTTGTTTCTTTTCTCAGTGTATGGTCTGTTCTTTCTAACAGCTTTAAATAGACCTTTTCCTTTTCTATGAGGAACGATATGCAGGCTATATTTTGTTTGCGTGGACAGGAAATATTCCAAACGATTGCTCCGAACGCTTTCATTATCCTCGTGTTATTTAATTCGTTTTAATGTTTCGATGACTTTAAGGTTCTTCTCCGTCATTAAATTTTGTTTCAAATGAAAATAATAGTGAGGCACACTTTACCTTCTATTGATGACAGGTTTGATGACAGCGGCAGGTTTAGTGCCTCGAGGTAATCAGTTCATATGTCCGGATTCTATAGAGTTCACAGAGGCGATTAAGGTGAAACTTTTACTGTGTGAAAATTTCCGCTTTGAAGGCGAAGGAAATTTGCTTTCGTTTTCGATGATTCCGGTTTTCTATGTCCTCATTGAAATCTTCGAAATTCTTTCTCTACAGGATTCTCCGAGGTTTCGTGCATCGTTGGCACATCACATGCTATATTTTAGTCGTCTGGAGAGCAGATTGAATGAGGTTTGTCATTCGATTCGCGTTGGTTTATTCGTTTACCCTATGATATCCTGAGTTTTCGAATTCAGATTCAAAAGCATGTAGCGAACATGATGGAGTACAGCAAGAACTACGTTGCCACTTTTTAGTGAGTTCTTTCTTCCACTGTTTCTAACAAATTGTTTTATAGCTGGTTTCCTAAATAATTAAATGCTGAAGAATCATGATTAGTAGTCTTTTTTTGGTTTCCATGTCATGACAAATCTGGAGAATGGGTGGGAGTTGTTAAATTTTTGGACACAATATCTGATTCTTTCTAACGATTTCCGTTGCTGTTTTTATGTTGGTCTTTTTTTGTAAACACAGTTTTAAAGATAGGAGAATTTCCTTTGAGCTTTTCTTCAGCTCTGTGAATCAATGCCACATCCATAGCCGTTTACTGAGTTGCTACTGAAAACGATCGAATATGATATGTCTATCCTAACATCATCCTTTTTGTAAACTTTGGTTTTCCATGGTACATACCTCTTTTTCCTAGTTCTTTAATGTTTTTTGGCATGCGTAGGAGTGCGCTGGCCCTTCTATCCCTCCGGAGTAGGCAGATTGGTACCAGATATGTCTGAGAGGATAACAGCACTAACTCGATACATCGGTAGGCCACCGCGAGTTTTTCTAAAGGCCGGATATGCATTCAATCACCACCAATGATGCTTCATGAAGAAGAGGAATGCATGGCGCATCCCTCGGCGATATATCAACGCCAAGAGCTTTGTCCTTTTTTAAGTACCCACTCATTCTGTATAGTAACCATCAATACATTTTAATTCGCAATGTTCTGTATGGCATGAGATATGTTTTTTTTAACGCTGAAGTCAAATACAGGCTTAATTTACTCATATTATGCAGTAAAGAGAGATGCACATGCAGAATTGCTCTGTATGGCAACATTGTGGATAGAAGAAGGCATCAATCGATAGTTCATATAGCAATGTCTCCTTGCCTGAGAACTTCTTCCAAAAGAGGATATACGTAATTGGCCCCTGCCGGATGAATATAAAAGGATTTCCCTAGTTAGGAAATGAAAGTATAAACGTGAGATTGTTATGATGCCCATGAAACACGATGCGTGCCTTCCCATAAGATCAACAAAATCGCAGGCTGTCGAATAGTGCAATTAAGCAAAATTGTTCGTTTACACAACTGATTAGATGATATCGTGTTTGTCTTAGATGAGTAGAACTAGACTAAAGTAATTCATTACATTCGTGTTTAGCAAACAAACAAGAATAAAGAATTGTTCAATCAATGCCCAGGTTAATAGACAGTCGGTCATGGGAATTGCTAAAATAATTATAACCTCTAATTGAAAACATGTCCCTAATTATCCAACTTTGGCGGTGTTTTTGTATAGCAGAGAGATCTCTTTTCGATAAGCAATCGATCGATCGTAAAGTACAGCTAAAATGTTCTTTGCTCCAAAGGTAAATAGTCGACAACGAAATGGCCACTAATAGAGTTGAGTAGGCCACAGTATAGTCCTTTGAATAACTCCGTAACAGTTCACGTCGTAATTATTGTTAAGTTCCGTTGTAAAGTAATTTCTTCACTAGTAATTAGATTTTCCTACAAAGAAAGTTAAAGCTCGGAGAAGTATGGTAAGTGGTTGGTGGAACAATGACGAAACAGCTTAATTCCCACTACCTGTGTTCAATTAAGTTTGTCCTTTTGGAAAATACCAGCGATTGATGAAGTTATCGCTAGAGTAAAAAAAACTGGCTGGGAATAAGCCAAAACAAAGACCTCGGTTGGTGTGGTAGATAGCACTGGGGCACCGGAAAGGTGACCACAAGTTCGAAGCTTAATTGAGGTTCCAAGTATTGTTCATGTCACAGTATTCTTCTGGTTGTATTCGAATAGTGCACTGCCATGATAGAAAAAAGAACAGGCAATATCTAAAGGCTAAACATTTTGAAAAATAGTCAGTTGTTGTTGATAACGACTGTCCGTTGACAATAATTTGTATACATAATGTATAGTTATAACCGCAATGATGCTGAGATATTTGCAAAATTGCGGACCAAGAGTGTCTGCGGTGGAGAACGAACGCGCTATTGTCCTTTCCGGGGAGTAACGCGTTCACCACCACACTATGCGGGTCCTTCCTTTCGCCTGTCTCTCAGCTAGATGGTTAAGATTGTGACTATAACTATAGCCTTAGTTTAATTGGGTTCAATGCCGATTTGAGTTCCCCAGATCAATCCCGTTGATGGGTGATTGCTGTTGGCAAAAAGATCGATAGAACTAGCTGAGAGACAGGCGGAACGAAGAGCCCGCATGGTGTGGTGGTGAGCGCATTACTCCATGGAAAGGACAGTAGCGCGTTCGTTCCGCACTGCAGACACCTACGGCTCGGAGTTTTGCAAATATCTAAGCGTTATAGAAATTATTATTATTATTTTTTTTAGTAAGCTCACAGTTTCAATCAATCAGCTGTGTGACGAGAGTTTCACTGGAAATGTACTCGCCCAAAGCACTCTGCACTCCTTGTCAGATGCATGTGGCCGTATTGTTAGCCTTGCAAAGGATTTCCATGAGCAGTCATGTATGGCTTTGTATAGCCAAATCAACTCATTCCTCAAAACGTAGGTTTGAAGGTTCTCTTTATAAATCCTGTGTCGTAAATCTCATTAGTAGTTACACACATAATATTTTTCCACTACAAGACACATAATGCTAAGAAATGTACGACATAACAAACGATAACAGATGCGAATTTCCGCTATAAATAATTTGACGGTGAACTAACAGCAACTGGTGGATGGGTATAGTTCATTGCAAGTTCTTCATATGATGTTTGGAAACAGGTGAATTCCGACCATAAAGAATACCCTAGGATTAAAATTCTTAGTCAACGAATAAACGAGGTCGAGTAACTCGTTTACGCACAAAGACCGGCACCAAGCACTTCCTCTAACGTTTTTTTTGCTTAAATTCTCAAATTTCTGTTTTTACGTAACTGAATGTCTTTCCAATAGTTGATTTGCTTTTTTAACACATAGTGACCGATATGGATCTTCGGCAACGACTAAAAAGTTTGCGTAACTGAAATACTTAATCACTTGACAACAACTTTATACACCGATAGAACAGATTGCTATGTTGTTCTAAGGGTATAACTGCTTTTTTAAAGTACTCCTAGAAGCTCGTATTTGTTTAAAACTCCGACTGTCAGAAAATTATGAACCAAAGTTTAACATTTTTTTTAAAGTTGAATACAAGGGCGGCCGCCGCGAAAATCAGCGACGCACTGTGAGGCATCAGTGTGTCTTTATTTTGCGGAATTCCAACGGTTCAATCGGTTACTTTTTCGAAGCACAAACCTCTGCAAGACAGCAATGCTTCCTGGTCCTCAGAAGAGTTAGAGTTTCTCGTCGTAGAGTAAGAGAACAATTTTGCTGATACAAATCTGTTAGTTCTATTGATTCATAATTCAATTAATAAAGTGCTCTATGAGCTATGTTTTTTTACTTTTACTTTTTACTTTCACTGGCGCATGCTCGAGTCACTCGATGATCAACGGGACTATAGGTGAAATAGGTGATGAGCTATGTTTATTTAATTTTGAGAGGCGTTATTATTTCCATGCAGAAATATACTGAAATCAATCGTTGTTGATCTTGTTATGCTTATTTAGAGGAAAAAGCAGTGGAAAGTGAGGAAAAGCTGTAAAATTGCTACTTGAGTGCTTTTCACGATTTTTGAGGACAGTTATTGTTTCCTTCAATCCTTATTTTTAGTGATCTAGTAAGAGTGCAAGAGGCTCGGGCACATTTCGACTCAATGTCTACTAGTATGGACGAAGCACTGTCACGTAATGCCGCTTCTACCAGAACTCGTCCTTCAGATGCTGTAGAAGGACGTAACGCTCTGACAGCAGTACGTCCCGGTTCTCCTAGTGAATGACTTCCTTTGCTAAGTTTAAAGGTGTTTCTCCTATAAGACTTTGTTTTACAGGTAGGAGCCTGCTTTGCACACACGACACTGGATTACGTGGCACAGATAAACATTGTTCATGCTTTGAAAGATCATCTTATAATTGATGCGGTCAGTGCTAAAATACGTTTAGAATTAGAGACTTCATCCATGTAGATCTGCGCGTAGAGTAAAAATTGGCCAAGGATTATAATCCTTTCAACACATCCGAGAGAGTAATGAGTCTTCAATAACTATGGGTAATTTTCTGGCAACAAGAGCACTTGAGAACCAAAGGTGCTTATAGTATCATCGAAGAGATTTCGTCCTGTTGCTTTAAGGCTATATGCAGTTCTAAAGAATAGTTTTCATTGTGACCTCTTTTAGAAATCAAATCTTAAAATATTTAGCTTTAAAGCCTTTAACGCTTCGTGGCATCCGCATGCGTAAACAATGCATTCGGAGACACTTTCGCATCCTACCACACAAAATCCTGCTTGTTCGATTGGTTCGCTGTTCAAAGTAGAAGTAGGAGCCTCGACGAAAAATGAAGGAAGGAAAAAGCGGTCGGGGGTGGGTTACAGAAAATCGGGATTTCATCGCGCTTTATTACTGTTATTATTACCATTATTATGATTACTGTTATTTGTGAAATAAGCATAATGATGCTGAGATGTTGGGTGATTGCTGATGGCAGTGATCGATTGAACTAGCTGAGAGACGGGCGATACAAAGGACCCGCACGGTTTGGTGGTCAGCGCGTTACTCCCCGGAAAGGACAACAGCGCTTTCGTTCCCCACCGTAGACACCTGCGGTCCGGAATTTTGCAAATATCTCAGCATCACCGTGGTTGTTCCACAAGTAGTACCCTGCCAAAAAAGCTAGTAAAAGGCAATGAATAAAAAGTCACCATTGTGAATTTCAACTATAACCTCAGCTTAACTTGGTTCAATGCCGAATTGGGCTCCCCAGATCAATCCCGTTGACGGGTGATTGCTGATGGCAGTGATCCTGCGGTCCGGAGTTTTGCAAATATCTCAGCATCATTGTGGTTGTTTCACAAATAATACCCTGCCAAGAACGCTAGTAAAAGGCGGTAAATAAAAAGTCAAAATTACTGTTATTATTATTATTGTCGTTATTACTATTACTATTATTACCACCAGTATTATTATTACTATTGTTATTATTACTGTTGCTACCGTTATTATATATTATTGTTTAAAATTGCTACTTATTATTAGCTGTCATTGTTATTTTTTATTTTATTTTTCTATGACCCGTCTTCACGTCTAATGTGCGGATCTCAGCACTTCTTGCATTCGATTCCTGCTATCCACCATCCACGGATGTTGTCTCTCTTGTTTTTGCGGGTGGGGTTCAGCTGCTTGAGAATTTTTTCATCTTCCTCACGAATGTCATTGAATGGTAACCGAGTTGATGCTTCCTGAAATCCTGAAGTGTCCATGCTGAGGCATTTCTGCGTGGATCTGGGGGAGTCGTGTTGCTTCACACTAGTACGGTACCAATTCGCCTTCTCCGGTAGAATGCGAACCTTGGTTGGGCAACGTGGTGTCGAAATGAAGCCTAAGCAGGTTGGGTTGTCCGTGTAATGAACGGGGTCACTGTCACTGCGCTACTCGCTCCCTTTCATCACATTAGAGGAAGAAAACTTTTTTCTGGTTGTCAAGATCTGTAGATCGTAATGGTTTTTTATTTAGTAACGTTCACACTGAGCTCTTTTTATCTAACTTAGGATTCCGAGACTTTAGTTTGTGTAACGAGAGAGTACGACGACGCTTATTTTATCGCCACACATGTTGTAAATTGAAATAAATTCAGATCCGCCGATCCGTTCTCATTCCATGCATGGATTCAGTTAAGTTCAAATCCGACTATAAATATATATTAAAGTTGAAAGGACAAATTATTTTCTTGCATAGGCCATGCATGTCTTCTACGATCTCAAGCATGTTAACGGACTTGATGAGAAGCTGGATATGGATTTGTGAATAGTTCACTACCCTTTCATGCATTGTTGCCGCAGTTCTTCCACTCGCTAAGTTATCTTACATCCGTCCTCCACAAGGATGTTGGGATTTGTCCGTTGGTTCTGCAACCATCTAAGGTTTTGTTGCTTTCAGAATTAATACCGTTGAGTGCTGGTTTAAGGTGATCTTGCTTGCAATTCCATGATACCTTGGCCACGGTGTTCTCGGGTCTTCACGACAGGTAGTCGTCAGCGTATGTGAAATTGAAGGAAGCGTTGCGAAGTCACACCATTTTTGCGACTCGGCACTGGTAGGGTGGCTCTGTAGGCAGTCGAACCAATGGCCGTGTAATGGGCACCTGCATGTGCTACGTTATACCAGCAAATTCAGTTTTAGTTCTTCGGAGAACAAATACATTTCGAGCTGATCTATTTTGTTTGGATACGTTGCGTTATTAGGTTGAATGAAGACAACTACTTTGATCGCTCAAGTGCTTCATTGCTGCATTTTGCCAAACACACCATGCCAACTAACAAAACGAAATTTTTCAGTTATGGTCGTTCATTCGCGAATCTTCGTCATATTTCTCTCGTGGACATGCCGTATTCGATGAATGGACTGCTGTCGACAATGGAGCAGTTGCTGACTCCATTGCTGCTCTTACAGCCAAAAGCAGATTGGTACAACGAAAAATGCAGGACATACATTCGCTCGTCCCAAAGGTGACATTTTCAAGTATTTCGCTTGTTACTTTTCATCCAGAAGTAGAGTTGTTCCGTATGGTTCCACCATGTGTCTTATCTTAGTTTGCTTGCACACTTTTAGCTTCTACAAGTTTTCACTGCAGAAATTTCTGTGAGAAGAAGCTAATTTTCTGGAACAAACTTTATTTGCAGTCCATTTTTACTTGTCTACCATTATTTCTTGCATGGGTATTTTTATCTTCTTTTTCTTTCTTGCTTATAACTTTGCTTACATGGATTACGATGAGTTTTAGTTCCTATTCTGTCCACTAAAATGATTCGAAGAAATCGACTACAGAAGAATTCAGGGAAGAATTTGATCCTTGGCAAGTGACAAGGTGTCGGTGATGAAATGAAGATTCGTCATTCAATAAACGTACTCTAAAGAAATGTTTCTGAAGATCACTTAACATTGATGTGTAGTTTCACTTCTAAAGGATACGGTGTACTTGATTTTTTCGACTAGATAGTGAGCAAGTTAGTTTTGTGTTCATTTTCGAAACTACTTTAAAAACAGTTTTCTGGTCATCTCTCGTGGCAACTTGGATTTCGACAGTTCTCTACTTCTTCGCTATACTCTGAGTATGTTTGTACGACAACTTTGTGTTAACTCTATCTACATCGCTACTAGCACCGAGTAGGAAAAAGTGCAAACTTAGTTCGAACCGCGATTACCCTTTTCGGTGGCTCACCTGTTACGCATGGCACCACTGAAGCCCTCATTTTTATTTCCTCTCAGCTATTTTTCTACCTAACGCTGCTTAAATGGGTTCAATTCCGACTTCAGCTCCACAGATCATTCGCGTTGACAAGTGATATCTGATGGCAGCGTTAGGTAGAAAGACTAGGAGAGAGAAAAGCAGAACGAGGGCCTCAGTGGAGCCATGCTTTGCACGTGAACGCCTGGGAAGGGTGGTCACGGTTCGATCTTGCCTTAGGTCCAAGTTCAGCAATTATCTCAACATCATAATGGTCGCATTTCAAATCATACCCTGCCGTGAAAAGTAGTTATAGGCAGTAAATAAAGAAGTTAACATTTCAAACTCAGTATTTCAAATGTATGTTGAGTCATGAAACTCCCAGAGGCTCAGTTCGTCGAGCGCCCTGTCGCGGTCACGGTTCGATTTGCAATGTATTGATTTGCTTGCTCCCGATTAGTCACCTGTCGACTATGATCGTTATTTGATCCTCTGTAGGTCTTTGACTGTTTAATTTCCTCAAAGATAATGTTTCGTTGACGTCGAATATGGTGACGTTTTGTGTAGCACTATATTCATCATTATCTCTGTTGTTTTCCAGATGTTCCCAATACACCTGCTATGAAAATGTATGAAGATGTCAGCTCTACGTCTAAAAACACTGTTTTCCCACTAATTAACAAGATCTCTCGAATTTTTGTGAGAAACGGTACGTCTGCGCTGAGGGATCTTGCCGCCTATCGATCAAGGGATGACGGGAATGCTAGCGCCTCCTGCAGTTCACAGCCCTTTCATACGCTGTCCCGTTCGAAATCGTGCAAACAAAGTGGAGATCCTAAAATGCAACGAAAACCTAGAGTAAGGTGTCGTTCAGCGGTGAATTTTATGACTCAGAAGGAAAATATGAGCTGTTTTTATGTTTCTGATGAGACGGATACTGTTCATTTAACGGAAACGGTAAGCTTTCGCCGTAAGATTTTCTTCTTTGCTAAACAGAAAAAGTACGTTGGCTTCAGTGGGAGTCGTTCTACCATCCATTGCTTCAGGAAATGTTCCAACACTTCTCCGGAATGTCTCCGGATCCAGACGTCATGATGGAAGGCTACTTATATAAGAGATCATCGAATGCATTTAAAACGTGGAATCGACGATGGTTTCAAATAAAAGATAACAAATTGGTACGTACAGTTATGTTAGTCGTTAGTGCTTTAGATTACTGGTTTTGCTAGAGGCCGTTTAGCCTCTTAGCAATATTCGTGGTAAAATGCTTCGTTCACATTAGTTGTTCCTTCCCCAATTCCCACCCTTAGAATTTGTGGTGATTTAGGGTGGGGTTGAATGGGTATCACTTTTTTTTCAAAATTTACTGCTTTCTTTCTGTCCCAATCTACCCTTTACACTTTTCTGTTGACATCGATTTGCCCTTTTCAGTTGTACTCACATAGATCTGCTGAATCGGAGCAGCCAACGGTTATGGAAGAGAACTTGATGTTGTGTCTTGTTCGTCCGGCACCACCATCTGTTGAACGAGTCGGTTGTTTTGAACTGATAACTCCAACAAGGTGTGTCACCATGCTGTTCACTGTGCTTCTGTACTTTTTATTTGCTGCCTATTAGAATTTTTCACGACAAGGTTTTATGTGTGGTACAACCACAATGATGCTGAGATTATTATTTCCGGTGTCTAACGCATTAACCACCACACCATGCGGGTCTTTCGTTTCGTCTTTCTGTTAGCTAATTTTCTATCTGCCAGTGTCGTCAGCAATTTTAGACACCTGCAGTACGGCGTTTTGCAAATATCTCAGCCATCGTTGAAACTTGAGGTACCCATTCGTGATACGTGAAGTTTTAGGAGCCATTTACTTCAAGCTGATTCTGAATCCCTGTGCAATGATTGGATGCGTGCCCTACAACGTACTATTCTAGCGTTGCATGAAAGTGATGACGTAATAAGTTAATTATACCATTTGATGTTAACCAAATCCTATTCATATTTACAATGAAGTCCTTTGTTTTATAGGTGATTCGTCCAAGTTCGTCTGCGAAACCGGGTAATAATAGAGACGTGTCTGATGTAAGCGGAAGCTCGTCTGCTGATCTTTGTTCGTTTTCTGTTCCTGATGCCACAACAACATTTGAGCAAATTCGAAGAGTACCGGGAAACGAAAGATGTGCAGATTGTGGATCAGATCAGCCCAAATGGGTCAGCATCAACTTGGGTGTAAGTCTCTCTTTCAGTGGTGTCGTATATTAACCATCTCGTGACTATGCTCATTGACTTAAATGCGCATGTGTTGGAGGCAAGGTGGCCTTCGCTGTGGTGACCTTTGCGCATTGATTTCAGGCCATTTTCTGTTCGTCTGATTTCCTTTATCGTGCAGTCTTTTACTGTGCTTCTTGTACTCAAGCCATAGCTTATTCACCACAGATGTTCTACCAAAAACGGTTGACGAAAACTGGTCTAATATTAGAAATGCCTTAACAACTGACGGAACAACCAATATGGTTATACTTCAGCCTGCTCGATATGGGATGTGAAAGGAAGATGCGCACCAAGAGTTTTAAGTGGAAAGTGAGGCTTATCGGATCGAAACAGCTTAAGCTTTGTACCTGATTTGTCGATAGTTACTACACATACCACACCACCAGCAGGGCCTTTACGAAATAAAAGTACACAGTACAAGAAAGCTGTTCTGTTCAACATTCATAGACACCTTAGCCCTAAGGTAAGTTGGAAAATCACTGAGAAATCTTATAACATGTCTGATTGTGATTTTGGTGTAACCTTAGCGTTGCTAAAGTGAATGATTATATAGCGGCTAGGCGTTCACAAAGTGCACGTTCACCAATTAGTTTTCTCATAGCGTTCCTTCGGAAACGGCACATATTCTTAAGACTTATTGTCATGATATTCCACTGATTTAGAAAACTTTGTGCCCAAGAACCTTTATTTCAGGAAAGTTTCTTCTACGAAATATGCAGCTACGACGGCAGTTTTACAATTTGTGCTAATTACGTAGAGTTTATATTTCCCATATATAATATACTTGGCTCTTGAATGGCACGTCCTCACTGGCTATGCTGGCCCCAGCATAATCTCCATTTTTCGGAGGTTTGCTGGTTAAGCCATTGTGGTTCCCTGGAATTTCGAAGACAACCTGGCCATAGTCTGCCTAGGTCGTCACCACGACAGGCAGTCGCAACCCTTGTGGATCAGAGGGAGATTTACCACCATGCGGCTTTGATACCAGGACGGTGGTGGAAACTGGTATTGGTTTACTCTTAGCTAGTCTTCCTGATGGAAAACCGGACTCAGCTTGGGAGACCCTGCCAGGGATGAATCCCCCGCTGTTCATCGCAGTCTGACAGCTAGGAACACCTCACGGCCACGGTGAGGCGGTAAACCGTTGGGAGGCATGTGTAGTATACAGTTTTTAAATACAACATGATGCATTTTTTCCATAGAATAAAATATACAGTTCTAAAACAATCTAATTCTCGCGCGCTTTTTATGTTTGTAATTTTATTACCTCATATGAAGTTTTATGTTCAGGTTTTTCATTTCGAGGGTAAACTTGTTTCGCGGGTAGCGAAGTTTTGGAGCTGCCTATGAATAGTAAATCCTTAACTAGTTATTTAACTTACCTTCCTTCTTCTCCACCTTTTTTCCCAGCGGCCCTCAGATTCGAAGTCCTTCATGAATGGTAGTTGTCAATGAGGAAACGTGTCGAGTAGAGGAAATAAATGCTGACATCTGCACAGTATGTGATATTAAGTCATGTAGAAGAATTTTAAAAAGAAGATTTCATTAAGAGTCCATTTTCTTGCTGTTGGTGTTATCAGTCGTCGTTATTGTGTAGAAACGGTGGATATAAAAAGATAATATAAGAACATCGAACATCGATGGGTGCGTGTAGCACAGTGGTCACAGACGCCTTGCAGTGCACATGGGATCGATCCCCACACCTAAATCCCACCGAGCTCTGCATCCCTCGGGGATCGGCAGTTGGTACCAAATTTGTCTGGAAAGATAGCGCAGCACTGGCTCGATCCATCGGTAGGCCACCGTGAGTCATTGTAAAAGCCGCATGCTTAATGAAGTCCAATGCTTGGCTCATCTCTCGTATTGATCAATGCCGGGAGCTTTATCCTTTATTTCAAGAACATTGAAATGTACTCCACATGTAATACAAGACTGCCAAAAGCTAATAGCACCATGATTGAAGTGGGGGAATTTTTTTTCTTTTCGTCATTACAACAAATGAGTTGGTTTTGTTCAAGAAAAATGGACAGATAAAAAGAAGATCCAGAACTTACAGTGAACTTAAATATCTACAGATTCAAGTATAAAATACTTGAAAAATCGAATTGTGGGGCGGAAAACAAAAGAGTGCGTAGTTGTCTATTGGTCATTCTAGCAGGATATCATTGCTTTCAGTGTGCACTGGGAGCGAGGAGATGTTAAGGTATAGTTCCAGCATGACTCGTAAAACACCACCGATATCACCGACTTTACTCAGTCCACATGACCACCAGTCCAACTGCCTTTACTTTGATGAATTAGTGCCATGATCGTCTGCAAAAGATTAAGGAGTAAAGCTCGATTAGTGTGGCGTGGAGTAACGCCTAGTCACATTGGTTGGTTAGTGGGTAGTCGATTAGGACTTGCTATTTTTTAGAGATTGTACGATATCCATAAGAATCCTGAGTTGTAAGCAAAACTTGGAACTTCAAATGTGCTCCCGTACCGGTGATTACCCTTTTCGAGGGCTCATGTGCTGTCTACCAATCCCTTTTGACGAATGATTGCTGATAGCACCGTTGAAAGCTAAATGTTAAGTTAAAACATGGATGAGAGCAAACCCAAACAAGGGCCTCGGTTGGAGTGGTGGATAACACGTAAAACTCCGCAAAGGGTAATCATTGGTTCGAATCCCAGCTAAGGTTCTGGATTTCGCTGGTTTCTCAGCATCATTGTGGTTATATTTCACATCACACCTTGCCATGAATAAAGAATGGGCGGGAAATAAATGTCAAGGCATTGTGAATATCTACATTTTCTTGTTATCTTGTACGGCAGAATTATGGAAGAGGCTTTTCACTACCGCTGTAAGGCTGTGCAAGCTATATTTTCCACTGTTTTTTCAATTCTAGCCTGGTCTACCACATAACCTCATTGCTGTAAACATTTGGAACTGCTTTCCAATTAATATTATGTGTTTTGTCATTTTTTAAACATATACGGCAGCCATGTAGGTTGGAACGGTTTGAATGGAATAACAGTCACTACCACTGAAATTATCGGCTAGTGGGCTTTTTTCTGTAAATTATTAGATGTAAGAAAGAGCTTTCCATTAACTGCCTGATATAACATCTGTACTAGATAAGTTATCGATTGAGTATGAAGGGCTTTGTGTAGGAAACTAAACACGTGCAAAGGAAATGCATAAGGTATAAAGTAGTTCGTCCACCTTGCTTCCCACGAATTAGTAGCAACATGTGTCTCAAGTGTTGCGTATCTAGCACCACCTTGTGCATTGGCTGACCTTGAGATTTTGTATGTATTAAGCCGATTTCATCACATCAAGGAGTGTATGGACGGAATGTTGTTGAAGGAGTACAAGTTACCAAGATCTATTATTACGTAGACTTATTTATAACGCGCGTGCGTATAGCACAGTGGTCGGAGGCGCTCTGCAACACAGACGGGATCTATGCCGGCGTCCTGGGTCCACCAAGCCCTCCCGGTAGTGAGGTCGGACGACGAATTCCTTAGGGATAGATCAACACTGAAAGCTTTGTCCTTTTTATTTTTTATTATGGTGCAAGATGTTATATAGCACCTTATTAGCTTCTCTTTAGGATTCTTTATTAAGCGTTGTAGGTTGTACTTTGCATCGAATGTTCTGGTGTTCATCGAAGTTTTGGCGTTCAAATATCCAAAATCCGGTCACTAACAATGGATTCAATTGAACCGGAGTTGAGAGATGTCTTGCTCAGTCTTGGGAACTCTCAGGCACTGCAATTGTTTAGTCTCCTTGGTTTTGTTTCGTATTTGAACTCTTTATCAAGGTGTTTAGGTTAACGCTATATATCTAGCCCATCTTCCAGAGAAGAACGTTGTGCCTCCACCAGCATCAGAAAGCTCTAGTCGGCAGGTGTGGTTGTTTGCTTTTCGTTCTTTGAAGTATTCTGACAAAATTCCACTTCAACAGTGAAGGTTGTGTCTTGTTTTCCTGAAATCGGAGGTGGTCTCAATTGAAGTCATTGCTCATTGGAGACAAATCATTCGAGAGTATCGTTCATTGCAGGCAGTGTTGTTTCTTATTAAATGGAACAAAGATTTTTACCGTATTAACGTTTTCAAATGGGGCGCATAGCACAGTGGTAGTGATGTCTGTCATCACAAACATGGTGCTTGTTCTATTCCATTCCAAGCCAACCAAGTCTCATCCTTCCGGGACCGTGAAATTGGTACCGGACTTGTCTGGGAGAAAAATTACTGTGTGCAATGCAATTGAGAACACTCCACTGTGAGAACACTGTGAAATTCATCAAGCAGCAACCGAAGCTACAAGTAAAACTTGGAAGATCTTCGTGGATGATGGATGAGAGGAAACGATTCGAATGTGAGAAGTGCTGGGATTCGCATAGTAGACGTGAAGATGGGTCATATTAAAAAAAAATTTTAAATTACCAGATTATTCTAGCCTGCATCACTTGACTGCGTAAAAGGTCTTGCAGTGTATCGACCTGTATTGTATCATGGGGTGTTCATCCGCCAGAATAATTTCCTAGCATGTTCCATCCGCAAACCCAGAGAGGAAACCAGCGCTAAGAATCATTGCCATCATGGCAATGAAATAGTCACTAGTTGACAAATGGGAACGCATTAGCAAAGCCCTATCACCACTTTCGATACTCCAAGGAAAAAAAGTCTCCCAACAAATTGCCAGTCAAATGGGTTTATACTCGGCTCTAGACGATTCATCGCTTAACTTGGAAAGGGGTGGCTGAAGCGTTCCATTACTCAAGTATGATAAAGAGACAACAGATCGGTAACAGCATAGATTAACAGTTGTAGTTTTTCAGATTCGCGAAGCATGGATTAAAGCTAAATATGTAGAACGGCGTTTTGCCATTTCTTGTAGTGAGCGCGCTCGAAGTAGCGCAGCTATAAGAAATGAGCATCTTGCTCGACATCGGATCAGTATATGTGGTCTAGTTGGCTCTACAGGTGACAGTTTACGTGGAATTTTTTGTTGTGTATCTTGAGATTGTCTAATTGCTATTTTAGTTCATCGATCCACATCTCTTTGCGAAATGAAAACGAGCGATGATAAAAATCATCACAAGTTAGTCAATGAAAGCAATGGTGCGTAAGGTTCATTTTCAGTGGTGTTTTTCTCCGTACATAATAACAAGTGCATTCTCTAAATGTTGTTAATATTTTTAACCCTTAACACCTAACGCTGGTTTCTTGATAACTGCTGTTACTTTCTGGAGAACAAGAATAGTTAAAGAGTTGAACATTTGATATTTATAGAGAAGAAACTTTTCCTATCATCCATAAATAGTTTTCCTGAGATATTTCTTCAATTTCAAAATGTGTTTAAAGTTCTCATCCATGAAAAATTGAAGGCGAATTTTTAAAATATTACCCATCTTCATGTCTGCTGTGGCGATCGCAGCACTTCTCACATTCGATTCGTTTCCTCGCATCCATCACCAACAAAGATCTTCCAGCCTTTATGTGTGGCTTCGGCTACTGCTTGAATATTTTCATTTTATTTTGAATGTCGTGGAATGCTGGTCGAATCGACTCTCCCTGGAGCCCTGAGATAGCCGAGCTAGAGCGTTCCCAAATGGATTGCAGAGAGTAGTTTCTTCTCAGACAAGTCCGGTACCAATTTCTCGACCCCGGAGGGATGAGAGGCTTGGTTGGCCCACAGCGGAATCGAACTAGCATCATGCTCGTGATGGCGGACATCACTGCCATATACTATCCTTCACAGGCAACATTTATGTTTCTAAAATGGTTGACGCAAGTCCGGCAAACGTCAAGACTCTTTGGGTAATTACATGATGTCGTGTTCAACAAAATTCTGACTGATCGATTAGCTTTTCAAAATATGAGTCTCATCAGAGTACAGAAAAAGCACAATCTCTTGATACAAGTGCAGAAAGTTGGGTTGGAGAATTTCTATAGATTCTACGGTTTCTATCTCAGTGAATAGGGGATAGAAAGTACAAATAAAACAAAGGTATATTGATTTTCCATTGAATAGAGAGGATTAACTGTGAGCTATATGTAACTGTTCATATGAATGTGTCGTTTTCTTGTTCAGCAATCGCGAGGTTTTTAAGCAGCATACATTTACTTCCATAAAAACACAATACAATACAACGCTAGCTGACGTTTCGGCAGTATCGCCTTCTTCAGAGCCTGGAAGGGTATACTGATATACAATCTACTAGGCCAAACGCTTCAATAACACTTACAAAAAGACGAAAAACTATGGTAATTACATGATCAACAACTTCTCGAAAAACCCACCGCTTTTTCGTGACTTCCAATGAGGAAGTTTAGAACAGCTGATTATAGTCGCATGTGGTTGACGACCTTTGCGCCATCCCACATCAAAAATCGATGCGAACGTACGGGATCAGGTCGCGTATGACCTCCGGGCATTCGTCCCTGCTATTCATTGTAGAGTTTTGGCATTTATCCAAGAAGCCTCAAGAAGTTTTCGCGCTGGTGTTTTAGACTTCTGTGCAACGATATTGACTTTTACTTCAAAATCGTCTCCGCTATGCTTTCGTATCCTATGCGTGCTTAGTGGGGTGCTTCGTCTTAGTTTTCGTTTGCCATCTAGGTGTTCTTTTATACGGATACACAACGGTCTGCCCGTTTCGCCAATATATTCATCTCCGCAATTATTACAAGAGATCAGGTATATCGTACCTGAACTCATGCAATCACCGTCCCTGCCTTAAGGGCAAATTACGCAATTTGTTGTTTCACATTGACGGCCATGCAGGTGGTTACGAACTAATTGACGACTTAGAGTAGCCGGTGGTATTTCAACTATCGCTACCGATTCCTCTAGACCTGCCCTTCTTAAGCATCGTTTTATAGCTGCGCTTACTTCATCGCTTATAAAAGGCAACATAAACGGGATTTTGTTTTGGCCAAGTGTTTCGCGTGGGCGCGTCGTTGTTCAACTGTTCATAGTTGAAAGGCGCAATTTTTCGTTCGTTCACGTGCGATTGTACAGTGTGCATCGTCCGTTATGTAGTTGCGATTTCCAGATTTGGCTCACAACATTATTAGTGCGTGCCTATGGCAATGATTAGAGATGCCCTCAAATGTATCCGTAGTCGCTGGTTTGATCTCGTCGGTTAGGCTAGCTAAGCCAACCATCCCTACGGAGTAGGGATAGGAAAAGTTCTACTAGTGTTGTCTGGGATGGCAAGAATGCTGATCTAATACAATCGTGCATCTGTGTCGTTTTATAGGTTAGTGTGCAATCGGTTGCCTCTTGGTTTTTCGGCTGTTAATCGTTGAGGACCACGCTTTGAGTCTACAGTTCCCCGTCCATTTTCGTCTATTCTTCTCATTAGAAGGCTGTCCTACTGATGTTTTGCTGTTGAAATGTAGGAGTATCTTAAAAATGGGAGTGGGTTCGAAAATATCAACTGTGCGTTTCGATTAGACGTTGTGAATGCAGGATGTTTTATAAGACATCGTTCAAAAGTTGTGTGGGTGGTGTTCAAAATTCTTGACAAGCACTAGCCCACGTCAGTGTTACATGGGGCGTTAGAAGGACCGACCCAGCTGACGAAATGTGAGCGCAATGTCTCAGATCCGTTATCCCATGGGTGGTCTCTTTAGGAAATCCTAATGTGATCCACACTGCTCTCTCTGTATAATCTACGCTTATCGGCCGTACGTTACTGAGCAATTGACAACGATGCATGTTCATTTCGATATGTATGCTACAAAAATATTGGTCGATTTGAACTTCAAACTAATATATCTCGGGTTTTGTTGAAGTTAATTAATTGGAAGAGAAAACAATCTGTAGGTCCAGGCTAATCTCAGACAAACATTTGTATTTTAACAAGATTAAATCTTGATTTCATATAACTAGCAAAATTTTTCTTCCATTAGCTCTTGAATTTTGAACTCGAGAACAACTGAGCAAGCAGGATTTATTCCAGCAGGCTATGAGATATTGTATAGGTGGTTTTTGCAACTGCAGTGCTTGTAGTATTTTTTGAGGATTTAAGTTCTTAAAAATTTATTTGAAAAAGGTTTATAAATGAAGGGATATTTTGTTGAAAAAAGTGTAAAAACGATAGAACGAAGTTTTCTTTATTTATAAGAAATCCGTTTTATATACATGACCTGTCTTCACGTCTAGTGTGCGGATCCCAGCATTTCTCCCATTCGATTCGTTTCCTCGCAGCCATTATCCACGATGATGTTCCAACTTTTCACATGTGGCTTTGGTTGCTGCTTGAGGATTTTCATTTAATTTTCAATGTCGTAGAATACTGGTCGAGCAATTCTTGCTGGAGTCCTGAGATTGCCGGGCTGGAGTGTTCCCAGTTGGATTGCAGAGTGATTTTTTTCCCAGATAATTTCGGTACCAATTCCCTTTCGCGACCCCGGAAAGATGAGAGTCTCGGTTGGCCCGGAGCGGATAGAACGAAGTTAAGTTTACTAATTCGTTTCGTTTTGAACTACTGTAGTCAGAACCACCGACACTTTTCAGAAAAGCAGTTTCGTGGGTGTGCTTTGAAGGCGTATATGTTTCAGTTATGACTCATTTTCTTTCCAGTTGCTTTTTTTGCTGCCTTGACGTTTCCTGTTAAGTTGCTGAGGAATTATTCGCCGATTTGTAATGTTTCAACTTCTGTTACCTCGGTTGGGATACCATAGTGCATATTCTATTGCCTAATATGCCTATTCTTGTTATGGTCGATTGTAAGTGACTACCAGGTAAGGGTAATCTCGGGTTCGAATTCCACTTGAAGTTTTAAGTTGTGCTCATGTTTTAGCATCCCTTTGGTTGAAGTTCACATCCTACCACGTCCTGGAATAAGAATAGACAATGAATAATTAAGACTTTGCAGTATATCAGTTACGGAGTTGGCACGATTTATTTGAGTATTCATGTAAGTATAAGTGAACAATTTGGATTGTTGAAGCTATGACCTATTTTGTGCCGATGGTAGAATAGCATTACTACATTACAGTACATCATATCAATATCATTTAGTAACGCAGAAGCAGAGGTTTTTTGGCCGTAAACAGAGATGGGTCTCCCAACGGTTTACCGCCTCATTGTAGCTAGGAGGTGTTCCTGGGTGTTGGGCTGCGAAGTACAGCGGCGGTTCATCCCTCTAGCAAGGTCTTTCAAGCTTAGAAAGAGTCCTACGTTTACATAGGGAAGCTCAGCTAGGAGCAAACTCATACGAGGAATCACCTCCGTCCTGGTACCAGAATAGTCGAATGGTGGCAAATCTCTTTCTGATCTACAAGAGCGGCAACTGCGTGGGATGGCAATGAGCTGAGGAAAACTTCTAGGTTGATTTCGGAACTCCAGCGAGCAGCGATGGCTGAACCAAAAAATATCCGGGGAGTTGAACTTGTGCTGAGGCCCGCAAAGCCTGTGAAGACGGGTCATTAAAGTGAAAAAAGTAAGTAAGCAGAAATAATATTCAACGTCTAAAACGTTGTTATATCATAGGAGTAGCAGTGGAACTGCTTCAGTTCACTTTTATCTACTGATGAAGGATATAGCACACAAGTTGCTTAGCACACAATTGCTTAACTTAAAAGTTTTCGTAGTTAACTATGATTTCAGGAAGACTAAGTCAAAAATAACGAGCGTTATTTGTTTTTTACTCAGTAGTACTGAAGAAAGATTGCATTACCCATCCATATTTCCTATATTAGTCTTCCCAATAATAGGTCGAAAAAAGTGGAAAAAAAGAGTTTTCCTAGTCGTGTTAAATGTGGATTAGATTTTTATGTCTATACGTATAATACAAAATTTATATAAAGTATATGGATTATATATACATGTATACATCTACACATATACGTTTACGTATTTGTATAAACATTTTCTGTTTTTCCAGTTGTGGTGTACTTTCTTAACATAGGTGTTTACTCTGTAAATCTTGTTTAGTTATTCAACTGAAACGATTGTCCTCGTGTGGTTCCGACCCAAGTATACAGTGTGACGTGGGAGGTTTGTCGTATAATATAACTATATGCTTTTTTGATCTTATTCTTGTGTAATATCAAAATTGTCTACTTCCTCTACTCTTCTTCATATGTCTTTTGTATTTTCCATATAATTTTGTTTACATTATGTTTTCTTGCAGTTGAATCTACCGACTGGGACACCATAAGTGAAGCAAGTCGTTGCGGTGATGTTTTGGGTCTCCTTCAATCATTTGCTTCTGGAGCCGATATAAACTGCGATCTTAACGGCACGACTGCACTGCACATAGCAACGAAAAATGTTAGTGTGTTACATAATGTATTTACCATATTGAAAGACACAGAGACATTTAAAATGAATAAAAAGTGAGTAGTCCATGAGAGGACCTTTACAACATTAGTTGCTTTCTCATTCAGGGTCAAACCGCTGCAGTAGAGTTCCTGTTGCTGAACGGAGCGAAAATTAATGTCCTCGATGATAAGTTGTGTACTCCTCTTCATTTGGCCGCTGCGGAGGGGAATACATTGTTGGTATCTTTCACTTTTTCCAAGTATTTGAGGCCACAAACCTAAATTGTTATAAAAACTAGCTCATGACATTTGGGATAACACTGGTTGTGCGTTGTTTTCATACACCGACTTTGTCATCGCAGTGGTCCGTTTTCGACGTATTTTCACACCATAGTTTTATCGCCTTAAGGACTTTCTCTTGTACCTTTTTCCCGTATTTATTCTCTTAATTTCTACTAGTGTGACTTGTCATCTTTTGCTTCATGTACATAATTCTCTAGGTGAAATCCTTTGAGGATCTTGTTAGAAGGACCACTTTAACAATGGCCGTGTGGCTTAATCAACTCATAGTTTTGTTAATACGTGGTGGATGCAACATACCACTTTCGAAATCCTGGCCCAAGTTTCACTAACCTGCAGCAACAAAGGTTAAGATCATTTGGGTGAAGGACACAAGTACGGATTTTGAATTCCATAGAACTGCATTTCTGTCAAGACTATGTCAATGATAGCAGGTAGTGAGCACTAATCACAAACGCGTCTACATCTAACTTAGCATGGGTGTCACTTCAATTCATAACGCCTACTCTTTTTCCTGCAATAATTCTATCTCATCTACAAGAGGAGATGAAAAAACTGAATAGCTATTGTTCAAAGAGTGCTGTGTTGTGTAAACCTTGTTTTGTGGACACAAGCAATGTTCTGTCTTATCTGGTATACATACGTTATTTTATTTGGAGTGGCAACATATTTTTTTATTTCCATTTTTTATATGGCCCATCTTTACGTCAACTGTGTGGATCCCTGCACTTCTCACATTCGATTCGTTTCCTCGCATCCATCACCGACTAAGTTCTTCCAACTTTTACGTGTGGATTCGGTTGCTGCTTGAGGATATTCATTCCATCTTGAGTGTCATAAAATGCCATTTGAGTGATTCTCCCTGGAGTCCTGGGATAGCCGAGCTGGAGCGTTCCCAATTGGATTGCCGAGAGTGATTTTTTCCTAGACAAGTCGGGTACCAATTTCCCCACCCCGGAGGGATGAGAGGCTTGGTTGCCGTGTAGCGGAATCAAACTAGCACCATGCTCGTGATGACGGACATCACTAAACCACTGACACATTCGGAGTACTACATGTCGTGCTGCAGAGAATTCCATCTATTCAAACGCTATTAGGTCTGAGATACGGTATTTTATCCTGTCTAGAAGACGCTTTTACCTCGAGTTGTTGGCACTCGTTAACATTCGTATCTCAGACCTAAAAGCTTTTGAATAAACGGGATTTTCTGCAGCAGGACTACATGTACTCCGAATGCGTAAGTGGATTTCGCGGCTATCGTGCCGGCTCCAAAAAGTTTTATAAATGCTAATCTTTTTTCAGTTTTTCGGAAATTTCAATTGAAAGCATTTTAAATTGAAAAAACTTTTTACGAAGATAATGTGTACCCTCAGACCTACAGAGGAAGGCTCCTCTATGATTCTGTCATCTTTTTATAATTCGTCAGTAGTTATAGGAAAACCATAATATTTCATTAGGATGTTGAATAATTGGATATCGTCTTATGTGGCCGGCACTGAAGATTGGCCATCGTAGCGAATGTGTTGAAAGCAGTTGTGGTTCTAAAAGTAATGTTGAAACTACAAAATTTATTGAAAGTTTTGGGTTTTTCTATCAAACTATTAGGAAACTCCGTCCAGTGGTTCACACAGATTGTCTCTCTCAGTGAGGTGAGTCTTCTTCTCTTCAACCAGTGACATAAGATGTTAGGATAAAGATGCAGTCTTAACAGCATTCTTTGAGTATTTTGTCATCTTCCGGAATCAAAGTCGTCTTGGTCATTTTAGGCTTTTGTCGTCTTGCGTTGATTGTCGCACTATTCGGTATTGAACAACAGTCATTTTGGCATTAATCATTGTTAATCAGGATAAGTGATTTCCTGGAGTCATGAAAAGGAAACAGTCTAAATTCTCGATTTTCTTGTTGAGCAAACGCGAGGTGTTACTTTATTCTTTATTCCAGTAAAGCTGAAGTTTCGGCAATATCGCCTTCTTCAGATCCTGGAAAGGTATGTTGATATGCCAAACGCTTCAATAACACAAACACAAAAATGAAAATCTAAATGTTAATAGTCTCATTATCATTAATTTCATCTTTCTAGCTGTGTTATTGAAGCATTTGGCCTAATAAATTGCATATCAATATACTCTTCCAGGCTATGAAGAAGGCGGTACTGCCAAAACGTCAGCTTTACAGTAATAAAGAATAATGTAGCACTTCGTGTTTGCTCAACAAAAAATCGACAATTATTCGACCAATGCCGAAGCCTAACGGAAAGTCGGTCGTGGGAACCACTTGAACTAGAGTTTACTTAGTCCTTTAACACAAAATGTGGTTACACTATGACAAGGAAGAAGATTTCACTATTTCGCGACCAGTCCCTAGTAGGTAAACAAAAACATTTCGACGTAGTTTTCTCAAAGTGGGACTTTTGGTGTGAGTAGTCTTCATATATGCGATGCCGATCTCACCACATCTTTCATTCGGTTCGTCGTATTCCATACGCCATGCAAAAGGGGATCTGAAATTCTCATATGATGTGCAGTTTGAGCAGTATAGTTTCTTCATGGATGTTGAATACTGGTCCAGAGTTATACTTCCCAGTATGCCGACATAGTCGTTATAGTGTTTTCAGTCTCTCAGATTTGTGCTCCCAAGATAAATCTTGTCGGCGGGTGATTGCTGATTACAGCAGTAGATAGAAAACTAGCTGAGAGAAAGGCGAAACGAAGGATGCGCATGGTGTGGTGGTGAACGCGCTAACCCCGGAAAGGGTAATAGCGTGTTCGATTCCCTCCGCAGGCACCTGCCGTTCGAAGTTTTACAAATACCTCAGCATCGTTATAGTTTGGGATTACTTCTTCAGGGCGTAGTAGTCAAATGATACTATCTGTATTGCAGGTACATACCTGATAATCTTTGTGAATTGCCTCGTAATTATCTCTTATTTAGACAAGTGTGCCAACTTCTCAAGCGTGGTGCCGACAAGTCTCTTAAAAATGCTGATGGAGTAACGCCGCTGGAAATCGCAGTGGAAAGGAAGCACGCGGATATTGTTACTCTGTAAGATTTTAGAAATTTTTACTGTAGTGTGTTTTATTTTTTTCTTTCAGTGTTTCATACAAGCGTTCTTGAAGAAATAAAAAGGTTCATTTGTAGAACGAACAGCATTCTGCGTAGAGGGCGTTATTGTATAAATTACCATATTCATCAAGAGTGTTTAGAATCTTAATTATGCATTCCACATTTTGGTGTACACCAGGTGTTTTCGCTTTTACAGTTCACTCCGTCGTCGTCGTTATCCTGGAAATGTACTTTCATAGACGATGTGAGGTGGTGAAACTAGCGATTGTGTTCATTAACCCTGTAACCTTGTTTCCCTGTATATCTCTATTTTATGTTTTCAGCTAGCGTTTTATTATAAAGAGGAATGGAAGGATAAAAGGATAAAGCTCTCGGCGTTGCTCAATTCCTGAGGGATGCGCTATGCATTCGACTTCATTAGTCATCGTCATCGTTAGAGATGATTGAATGCATATCTGGCCTTTAGAATGACTCGCGGTTGGCTACCGATGTATCAAGCCAATGCTAGTATCCTCCCAGACAGGTCTGATACCAATTTGCCGATCCTGAAACGATGGAGGGCTTTGTCGGCTTGGAGCGCGGAGATCGGTCCCATCCGTGTTTCACGGCGCCTCCGACCACTCCGTTACGCATGCTACAGAGAGGAACAGTGTTCTTAATAAGGAACTGTTTATGTTGAAATATATATTTTCTTCTGAGGACTTTGAAGTTAGTAATGATTTGATTTTTTCTATTACCATGTGGGACTTCCTAAACCGCATTAATTGTAATTTGGCTCGTGTTAAGCATTATAACATAGCTGAGTTAAATTCATCTAGTCATGAAATTCAGTTAAGGTGAACCAAGATTACGCAGATGTTGAACTTATGCATGGGAAACTTCCTGAAGATTCAAATGTTATCTTCCGAGTTAACAATTCTTTTATCAGATTTCGTGTACACACTATGCGCGACGAGTTTAATGAAGAATTCAACAATCCTATGGACGACACCGTTGATAGCGTGATTTCGGATATCACTCGAAAAGCTGCCGTAAGCAGAAATTCATCTGCATGATTAACAAAGTCTGCGTTCCATTTGTTCTCGATGTGCGGTTCTCTATAAAAAACCGGTTCGGGCTAAAAGGCTTCGTGTTTTATCCCGTCCAACAGTGCTTTCGTCTCGTCATGTTTTCTTTCTCTACTAAGTGTTTGCATTGTTATCAGTTTTATAGCAGCAAGTCAGCTTCAGGAAAGTTTACAGGCGTGTTCAGGAACGTGTGTATTGAAGCTATGATTTCAAGTTTTCTTTTAACCCTATCTAACATGTCTTGGCATTAACTCGCATTGGCTATCACGTTATGTCCTTCTGCATAAGCTATTTCGTCTTACCTGCCTTCCATGCGAGATTTCTTCGCATTTTTCTTTCTTTCGTTTATAGTAGTAACCCTCTTCGACCCATATGTACACTTCTCCAAGTAGTTTATCGTATGGTGCGATTCTTGCGTGAGCGTTGTAAATTTATCCTGGAAAACGTATCATCTACCACATCTACAGTATTTTCATTATGTGATATTTGTCCTATTGTTGTCATTTTGCTAATATTTTTTTCAACTAAAACGCATAATCTGTCGTAATAGTTGGTAATACACGTGTACATTATCTATTTGAAGTAAAGAATTAGTCACTTCTTAGACGGAAGGTGTTTGAGAAGAAAACTGGGTATTGGTTTCTGTTACCATGAACATATCGTACACTCTATCGACGAGTATTTCTTGGTGTAAAAGCTAAAAGAAAAGCTCTGCGTTGTTTAATCCCTGAGAGATTCACCATGCATTCGACTTCATTACGCATCGTTGGAGGTGATTGAATGCATGTCTGAACTTTACAATCACTCGCAGCATCGATGTATCGAGCCAGTGTTGCTATCTTCCCAGACAACTCGGGCACCAACTTGCCGACCCGGAGGGATGAAGGGGTTGGTGGGTAACGGGCGCATGAATCGATTCCATATGTATCCGAGGGAGCCTTCGACCACTGAGCTACACGCGGTGATTTTGTTGGCATAGTAGTGAGAAGATGGTGGTAGAGTCCCGTGGTTTAAAGTTTGTTACAATAAATGCAGGTGTTTTTTTTTGTGTGTTGTCACTTGGAAAGAGGGGTTCTGTTCATACTTCGTTACGAGTCGTCTATCGTAGCGCGTTTAGTAGCTTCTATTTTTGTATCAATACGCGTGTGACGAACCATCGGTTATCAGTCAAGTGACTCTTCGCGGGTAGTTTGTTCAGTATAGTACTGGAAGCGGTCCAGTTCCAGCGTGCTTCTGAATACTTGGTTGTTTGTAGGTTAATTTTTAATTACTAGCGAAAGTAAGTTTTAAACTGGGTTTATGTTTTAATGATTGTGGAATGCGCAAAGGCTTACATCTTCTAAAGTAAAGGGCTGTAATAAGATCGGCTTTATCTAACGAGAAAATGATGGACAAAAATTGTACCCCTACATTCCGTAATAGGCTTGAAACCATCCACCAGATATTACCTACACCTTGCTTAACTCTGCCATGTCACTGTATTACGATGAACACGGTCGCTGAGACACCTAGGACTCTTATAGAGTATGAGCACTGGGTTATAGCGCATACTGTGTTAGCGATCTGGGTCAACGTCGTTTATTGCTTTAGGGTTGCATGCATTAACACGATTTGTGTCTAGTATAGGCCTTTCATTGTTGTTATATGTCCTATATCCAGTGTCTTCTGAGTCGGATTTTTCTTATCCCAAGAGCTTTCCCATATCCATAGGGATTTCTCGATCTACGATAACAGCATATGATGTGAGTCACGGTCTCCTTTTAATGTTCCAGATCTAACCTTTTATGTTGATGAGTGACATCGAATTCGATGGTCGATCAGGTCGATCCACATGAATATAGATCGTTTTGTTTTCGTGGTGAAGGAAGAGCGAACTTCGTCATCAGTGCCAAGCATACATCCTCGGGAATAAGGTTTGATAGCGTTCATACCATTGATTTTTCTGATGTTTTGTTAGTTCGAGCTCAGCAAGGAGGTCTTACCAACGATGGTTTTTAATAGTCTAAAATCTTTGGAAACATTTTTTCTGCCATTTGATGAAACCTGAGGTGGTTTTAGGATCGTTTGGAGGTTTACGAAGGAAAGAAAAACCGGTCTTATATCATGGAAAGCAAAAAGCGAACTGGTTAACAAGTATATGGAGAGGTTTATATCACCATGCTTCGATCCACGATTTCTTGTGAATTCGAAAATCATCGAGATGACTATTCAAAACGTACATCACCTAGCCAAGGTAATTCAACATCTTTATATCTCTCTCTCTGTTCATTTGTTTCCGATTAGCTAAAGATGATGTACACCTTTTCTACATGAATGATTTTTCGGAAACCTTACTGCCACGTCTTCATCGTTTCGGCTAAGAAACATTTGAAGAACGAACATCGTCAAACTTGTTATCTAGACGCCAAGTTTATCCTAATATATCGAGCGATACATTGTTCGTTCTGAAATAGTGTCTTAAGATGCATGAAATTAGCTTACCACATCCTTCTTTCGATATCACAAAAGGATTAAAGGATGAAGCTCTCGGTGTTAATCAGTCCCTGAGGACCATGCACCATGCATTCGAATTTATTAAGCATCGTTAGAAGTGACTGAATGCATATCTGACCTTTACAATGACTCACGGTGGCCTACCGATGTATCGACTCGGTGCTGCTATCCTCCCAGACAAGTCTGTAATCAATTTGCCCACTTCGGGGGAAGAAGGGCTAGGTGAGCCACGGGTGCGGAATCAATCCCATGTGTGTTGCATGGCGCCTCCGGTCACAGCACTACACGCGCCCATATATGTCGCATCAAAATATCAATGTCGTAAGCTATATGAACTCGCCGATCATTTCAGTAGCTCGTTTGTTTCGGTTTTGATGTTGATAAAAACATTTAAAACCATGATATTGTCGTGTGGATTGTATCATTGTAAAATCTTAAATCTGAAGAAGAAATAGCAGCGATGCTTGCAAAGCATTTTACCTGAGTCCTGAGCTGTACACTTAAATTTAAAGTAGATTTTACTATTAAAGTTTTGTTTAGATTCCATCTCTTCCTGCTAACCTCAAGATAGAAACATTCAGCGAGCTGCAAGCATTTCCTACTGATCTTTCGTTTTTTCCACTTTCCAGTGTTCCTAGAAATGTTATGAAACTATCAGCTCTTGAAATGATTGATGCCACAAGGATTCCGAAGCATTTGATTTCTTATATCGGGCCAACAATCACGGTATGCTTTTCGAATTTATTCCATATTATTAAATTCATTTAATTTCATCCCAACGGTTTACCGCCTCATCGTGGCTGGGAGGTGTTTCTCGCTGTCGGACTGCTATGTATAGCGGAGGATTCATCCCCTGGCAGGGTCTCCCAAGCTGAGAAGGAGTCCGGTGTGTCCATCGGGAAACCTAGCTAAGAGTGTACCATTACCAGGATCCGTCACCGTCCTGATATCAGAGTCGCATGATGGTAAATCTCCCTCTGATCCACAAGGGCTGAGACTGCAGGTGGCGGTGAAGACCTAGGGCAGACTTTGGCCAAGCTGTACTCGGGATTCCAGGGAACCACAATTTCTTAACCAGTAAATCTCCCAATAATGGAGATTATGGTGGGGCCTGCGCAACTAGTGAGGTTGGGCCGTTCAAGTATCAAGTAAATTCATCTAATATCGTAGAATTGTTTCGTCCCCACTGTAAATTTGCCTACTTAATTGGATACCTGGATGGCCTATCTTCACTGGTTCGGCTGGTCATAGCATAATTTCAATTTTTTCGGAGTTTTACTGGTTTAACCATTGTGGTTCCTTGTAGTCCCGAGATCAGCCAGGTAAGAGTCCGTCCCAGGTCGTCACCGCTGCGAGCAGTCTCCGCTCTTGTGGATCAGAACGAGATTTGCCACCATGCGACTAGTTTATTAAGGGAAGGTGGTGGACCCTGTTATTGGTTTACTCTTAGCTGGGATTCCTGATGGAAACGCCGGACTCCTTCTTGGAGTGAATCTCCACTGCACATTGCAGGTCGACACCTAGGAAAACCTTCTAGTTACTATCAAGTGGTGAACTGTTAGGAGTGTAAATTTGAAAGAAACCCACTAGGTTCAATAAATCAGTAAACTATTGGTAGGAGATGAAGAATAGTTTGTTTTTGATGTTACCATTACCTTCATTCTTACGCTGTTATTATTTGGTTCTAATTTCTATTGATAGGCGCTTCCTCGTTAATATAACGTATGTATAGAGTTTATTTAATCAATTGTTTACTGTTCAGGTGGAGATAAAGCCTAAACAGGGGTTCTTCCAAAACCATGCAACAGTTGACCTTCCTTATTGCAACAATTGTATCCTACAGGTAGGTATTGTTTCTTTCTACAAGTAGGCTTTTGTAATTAATGCGTCTTATTCTCCGTGTTGTTTTGCGTTGGGTGGTTTGATTTTTTTTTCTTTCAAATAAAGAGTGTAACACTTCCAACTTCTTTTTCTTCACTATGAATTTTTTAGCTTGAGAAGTGTGGGTCGGAGCATTTCGAGAAGATGTACGATTTTTGTCCTCTGGACCTATTTTCTGGCAACCTCGCTCGAATGAAGTTAGCCGTGGAGGCCTTGTTAAGGGTGCCACATAGAAATTTTCGTCTGTTCATAGATGGAAATTTAGTAAGGGTTTTTTTTGTGGTTTACTTCGCTTCATTCACGATTCTTTTGCGACGTCAATTTCAGGTTCATTCTGATGAGTCTTTGCTTGATCCTGCTCTTTTCACCCAGACTTTGTTCCCAAGCGGTCAAGGTAATACGGATGACTTAGTTACAGTGGTAAGGATAGGCTTGTCGTTTGTGTGACTATGACTAGTGTAACAAAAATATTCATTTATAGCTTTACTTTTCTATTTTTTAGTTGTGTCTTATTTTGGCTGCTTGTGACGATGTCCGTGATTTTTCTTTGCGTGATCATTCAGTACTGGGTCAAATTCTGGCTGCACAGAAAATAGATTCTGTAGGGATTTTGAGAGCAAATCAGATATACAGGGCCTTGCCTGCGTTTGTACAGGTATGTCGATGTTTCTATTACATGCATACATATGTAACATAAATACATTTATGTACTTAATGTCTATAAGTTCTGTTCTTCATCGTATTAACTTTGTAGAAGGAATTAAAAAATAAAAATCGTCTTCCTGTGATGGGTTTGGAAGTGCTGGAAGCAAATGACGACCGTGCGTTGCTAGAGAAGTATCTTTTAGCTGCTACAATGAAGGATTGCTCTGTTAGTTCATTCTGCTTTTATTCTAAGTGCTTAATAATTAGTGTGAGGGGTATATTTGGTTAAGCTTTTTTTAAAAAATTGTACAAATTTTGCTTGTAGGTTTAGCACTTCTATCACCTGTCTATCCTCTTATTGATCGCTGAGCAACTCGAGCAAGTGCATTTAGAGTTTCCTCTCAGTATCCGTACTAGAGTGTACCGTGATGGTGTTCTCTTTTGGGGTCAGGCAAATTTAGTGCTCTAATTTTACTGTTTTGGTGATCGATAATCTAGCTGTGCATATCGAAATGTGGCATGGGAATACATAGGCGTACGGGTGGCTTGCTAGTTTTTTTCCATTGCAGAATGGAACCTCCTTGGTTGTAAGGGGTACTTCGTAACCACCTCCTATGTACCACGCAATCACTTCATTGCAAGTGGTCAAACTCACAGACACATCCTGAATATATATCTACGTGCCTACTGAAGGTATATGTCAATTGTCGTCAGCCATATGATACTCTGATCAGCGACTCTTCCTCAGTGAAAGGCACATAAAAAGCGGCTCTGAAGAAGGTAATACTGCCGAAACGTAAGCTACGATTGTGTTGTATGTGTTTTATTGTATGGAAGTAAACGTATACTGTATAGCAACCTCACGGTTGCTGAGGAAGAAAACGACGCATTTATGTCAGTTGTGTTTAGCAGAGATATCCTCTAAATCCATCTTCTCAGGGAGGTACATTATCACTTTTGGTTCTCATTTAACCCATTAACCGTAAAATGATGATCCCTCGACAACCGGGGCCCGTGGGTGTATAAATGTAAATGCAAATTTACAGTGAAATATATGTGAAACTTTCTTGCTATAGGTGATGACTTCTTTACGATTAGTGCCTTCCGGTACATATCATGCTGCAGCGAGTACTGATGATGCTCAAATGGTCAAACTAGCAAATGGTAATTACTTCGACTTCTAATCTGTTTATATACATAGGAATAACTAATTCTGACTGTTTTTTTAAGGTTTATGTTTCGCATATTCTGTGAAAATTGTTGATCTGGATCCGAAGACTCCGAAGAACTTAGTCAATGCCTTTGGGAGGTTTATGGCTGGTGTAAAGATGATTCGTCTTGAGTCATTTTCAAGACGGCCTTGTGTTGATTACGTATGATGCGGTCTGTTATTTCTTTCTGTAACTGAAGTTATCGGTGTATTTCACTTTGAAAGGCACTCTTCAATGATCAAAACGTGTTCTGTCGCTTACTTTGTACAGCCTAAGCCTACAGCAATTTATTGCACTGGTGAGGTCGCTCTTTACAAGTTAATGATGTTATCAGCAACGGTTTGTATTTTAATTATTAACGTATTCGCGAAATACCCAACCATATGTGATGGGAGGCGGGGCGTGTGGGACGGTTCGTAGTTTTTCGAAGTGAACGCTGCGAATGATAGATGTTTTGTCTTGTCATTTTCTTTGCTGACCAGAAATGACCCTGTACTCTTCGCTCCCTTTTTACTTTATAGTTCGGCTTTTTGGACATATTTCTTCGTCTTCCATGAGATTTATCCTCTACGTGTTCTCTATATTCTATGATCTTTTCATTTTATAATATGTCCAACTCTTGTATGTGGTGAAAAACGTCGTCCAACATCAAGCTGCGGAGCTATTACCCTTTATTAGTCGGTTTTACAACATCTATTAAGTGTATTTCAACATTGGAAGGCTACCAATGACGAACGCTTTGTGAACGTCTTGCCTTCGTACAACTACTAATGTTGGTAATATCACCTACGCAACAGTTACTGCTTTACAAGTATCCTCAAGGATTTGATATGCTGAGAATGTATATCATATACGTATCGACCTGAAATACAACAGTACGATAGATACATCGTAATAGTTTCTACCGGTAACGTTCTCTTCAGTGGCGTTGTGTACTGCTCCGAAAAACAGTTTCTGTAGACCACTAGGTTAGAGGATGGCTCTCATCGGATAACATAAGACAATGTGTATACTAAGGACGGTGTCAAAGGAAGACAGAAAGAGTAGCAAAAACTCAGTTTTACAATGCAGCCAGAACTACTGCGAGTCAAATATGATTCGCAGCGTCCACACAAGAATCATGTGATTCATATTTGCGCGAATGTATTGAGTGCGAAACGAAGTTATCCGAAGGTAAGGCTAGGGATCGTCTGAAAATTGTAGATTGTTTTTCTAGGACTGAGTAGGACTTGTTACGCAAGGTTATTGACGTTCATAGTATGCAATCGATGCTGATCATGAATGAGTGGACAAACTAGATTCTTTGTCAGAAAGAAGTAATATTTTACGTTTTGAGCACATCCGCTTCATAATGATTGTTTACTGCTGTCCTTTTTCAGTATTTTAGAATAGTTGCTCTTGAATTTATCTCCAACCTAGAAAGGTCTCTGTAAGTTATCATGTGGAATTCATTGGGTGTCATTGTTATAAAACTTTTTCTTTCGTCTCTTCTATGTGGATCTGCTGTCATCGAAATGTTATGAGTAACTCAGTTGTGAACATTTCAATCTCATTACTACATAAACTCCTTCTTTATCGCTCATTCACTTCCCAACTGCATTCCACTTATTGGCTTAAGAGTCATTCCCAAGTCTATTCGATTATCTGAGTTTATGCTTATTTTTTCATATGTTGTTTTGCAAAGTTTTCTGTTGATTTCAACTGACGTAACAGTTATCATTTATGTTGAGTAAGTTTAGGTGGACTAACGACCACTAGTTACTTCTAATCACTAATCAGCAAGGCTTCTCCCTTAAGTCCTCGTTCATCGTTAGTTTTACTTGGTATTACTAAAGTTATCTTTGTTATAAACTGATCTGGAATGACCATGTGATTTTCTCGTGTACTTCATTTCATTGTTGTATAGATTCTCAACACTGGAACAGTAATAAATGGAATTGGTTCTTATCGCGATGGTGTTTTTCATTAGTTCTCAATTGAACAGACTTCTTATATCTCGATTATTCGTGTCAGTTTCATTTTGGTTAACGTTATTACTTGTTCCCTAACAGCTTCACTAAGGACTAACCATTGTAGTGTGCTGCACTATGTTGTTACCACCACAGGAAGTCGCCGCCTTTGTGGATCCGAGGGAGATTTGCCACAATGCGACCAGTTTGATACCAGGATGAAGGGGATCCTGGTATTGATTTACTCCTAGCTGTGTTTGCTGATGGAAACGCAAGACGCCTCACCTTGGGAAGCCGTGGTCCGGGGATGAATCCACCCGCTGTACATTGCGGCCCCATGTCCAGGAACACAAACAGGAACAACATAATCACCATTTTTGGAGATTTGCTGGTTAAGCCATTGTGGTTCCCTGGAATCCCGGGGACAGCCTGACCAAAGTCTGGCCCAGTTTGTCACCACGACAGACAGTCGCACCCCTTGTGGATCAGAGGGAAATTTACCACCATGCAACTTTGATACCAAGACGGTGGTGGATCCTGGTATTGGTTTACTCTTAGCTAGGCTTCCTGATGGAAACGCCGGACCCTTCAGCTTCGGAGACCCTGTCGTGGGACGAATCCCCCCGCTGTACATGGCAGTCCGACACCCTGGAACACCTAGCCACGGTGAGGAGGTAAACCATTAGGAGGAATATTGTAACAACATAGCAGTTCCCATGACCAATTTTCTGTTAAACTCGGCATTGATTGATAGTTCGCTCTTTTTCTTCAGCACCTCGTGTCTGCTTATTGAAGAAAAACAGGTAGGTATAATAACGGTTGGCAACTCTTGAGTAGTACTTGACCTGGTAAGAATACAGCAGGTAAATTAGTAGTGGTGCAGTTATGATTTAGCTTGCTGCATTGGTTTGACACGAAGCATCATCCGTTTTGTTCTCCTCATTCACTGAGTTCTCATAACATGTCGTTTCTGCAGTTTTGAACCTTAACATTGGTGTTTTGCTTTGTGACACTGAAATGAGTAGAGTGTACTAGGATGATTCGTATTTGTGTACTACGCCAGTGGTGTTCACTTCATGAACATCTAGGTGGGTTTTATGAGTTTCTCAACGACGTTTTTTGCTCAGAACTGAACAAACTTTAAGATGACTGTTACAGTGTGAGGTTGGACATATACCCCCTCATATAAGACAAACTACCAGGCACTTTTTAATGAGTTGAGAATGTAAACTATGTCCAATTTCCTGATGCTTATGAGTGGAACCATCAACTGTTGTGCGATCGTACGCACTGCTATGCAAAGCTGAACAGTGTGCGGTTGGATTACGCAGTTTTTTTTGGGATGGAAACCTCACAACACAGTAAAGTGCTCTAGTTTCTTAAAGATAGAGTATTTTGTGAAATACAACTATAATAATGCTGAGAGGTTTTCAAAATCCCGGACTGCAGGTGTCTACGGTGGAGGACGAATGCGCTGTTGTCCTTTCCGAGGACTACACGTTCACCAGCACACCATGCGGGTTCTTCGTTTCGCCTGTTTCTCGGCTCGCGACAATATTACCGAGTTAGTAAATAGTGTGTTCATTTCATGAATAGTTTTGTTCTTAAAGTCGTGGGTAAGGACTCAACGAAAGGTCGTTTGTGAATAACAACTAGCGTGCTTGAGCCCTAAGGTTGTTTCAATATGGAGTTATTGAAGTGTGCAGAAGTTAGCAAGTGGCTTTAAGTCTTGTTGATTAATGTTAACGTCGTAGGTGTTCGGTGAATTAGTTTTGGTTGTCAAGCTTCATTGATTATTAGCCTTGAACATTAAAAAGTATATATATCTATCTGCGTGCAATAATCGGGATGAAAAGGTTTAAAATTTATGCATTTTTGACCGCAAAATACTAGTTGACTTTAAGTAAATCAAAATTCTAAGCTTCTAAATTTCAAGAATTTTATAAGGACATTTCCAGCAGCAACATGGTTTTCGAAAACTTCTTGCCAGTTAGAGGTCAGTGTCCTTGAGACGTCCATGGCCGGACATTCTCTTAGAATGGTTGTTTATTGTTCTAGCCGTCCTTTGCAGTTTGCCGCACATTTTTGTTCGTTTGCAGGCAGTAATTCTCTACTGCTGTATTCCTTTCGGAAGAATTCAAGAAGTTATAATGGTTGATTTAGTCTGTTGCCATCATACAGGTGGAGTGGACTTTTATTAAAAACATCGACTTAGAATGTAGTTTGGTGTTTGATTTTTGTCTAGCCATTGACAGAACGTCATTGGTTGTTGATCGGAATCTATTCTTAGTAACAGTAAAAAAAATTAGTAAAAAAATTGGGAAGGGGAAATGGACCACTTTTGTTTCACCAAGTAGCAGAATGAGGCATAAAGGCAATCCCATTGTCTTCTGTTCTTTTCACATAACAAACATTTTTAAACTCTTTCTGTGATCCTTTTTCACCGAATTTTCATTTTAGTCGATCGGTTTCTGGGCTGCTAACTTATACTTGCTTTATCCTTCAGCAAGCTTTGAAACTGCTCCTTGTGGATTTCCTTCAATCAGCATATTCAGGAAGTTATCGTTAAACAGTAGAAGGTTGTTCCCAGTACTCCTCAGCTTGAAGGCTATTATTTTAATAAGTCTCTCTCTGTGTGTCGTCCATCTATCTGTCCAGAAATTTGATATCAACTCTTTGATCTACGTCCAAATTTGAATTCGTGTAAAAAAAGTTGCTTGAATCTTATTTTTATATGCTTTTATTTTACGTAACTAGATTGAAGGAAAATTAGCATAAAACAACAATGTCGTAGCTTTTTATTTACTGCATTTTCTTTTTTGGTAGCATGGTACTATGTGTAATACAACTACAATGATGCTGAGATATTTGCAAGACTCCGGACCAGCACTGTCTGCGGTGAGAATCGAACAAGTCATTGCCATGTCCAGGGGCTACCGCATTCACCACCACACCATTTTAGTCACTCGTTTCGCCTTTATCACAGCCATGTTAGTGACATATAGGTGCTATTAGCAGTCATCCTTCATAAAACAACAACATAAACCCAAAATTGCGGAGGTAACTCATGTATTGGCCTTCTTCAAAAACAGTGATTTTTTTTTCGCTGTGAAATCTGTAGAGTAATTTACAATTTTTACGCACTTACGTTCTTACTGTATACCGTTTCAAAGCTTATTTTGTTATACGTAGTTTACAGTGCTCCTTGAATACAATGGT